TCCCTTTTAAGATTTTACTTAACGTTTACAATTCACTGGTACAGCCACACGTTGATTACTCAAAAGTAGGTTCAGTTTGATCGTCCGGGTAAACGTAGTCCTGAATAGGACTGTTGTTGTTGACAGAGACTGACGTTTCGACAACCTGTGCGGTAGTCATCTTCAGAGTCAAAGTGAGTTGTATCATGTCAGTTGATGGTATTATACTCTGGTTATTGATCTGATTGGTCAATTATGTCGCGATGTTATTGGACGTCTGTCAGTTAAGCCGACATGTTATTGGCTATAAAGACTCGTAATCAGTAATTGGTGCGTTTCGATCCGTCTATTGTCACAGTTAAACAGTCGTCTATTGTTAGTCAAATTGTCAGTTCTCCAGTCGTTCTCTCGTCCGGGTCTCTCGTAGTTAGTTTTGCACCAAAGAACTTTTAATCTTAGGAAACAATAAAAGCACCATGGCAACAACGTCCACACTAATATTCTGAGGAGATGCCCTTTATGAATAATACAATCGCAATGGAATAATTGTTACTGCAGAGGCTTGACTTAAAAGACATAGCTATGTTTATGTCCAATGCTGCTACATATTATATTTTACATGGGATGGTTTTTGAGAAGTAAATATTGTTATGCAGGACTTTGTTTACAAATGTAACGCTTCCCTACAATGTACATGTGACACATTATGTTCCAGCTAGACTGTTCTTTTATAGTAAGCTTACAGTGAAATTTTTACCGGCCATCTCCGCCGATCACTCCAAAACCGTTGTTGCTCATGGTGTAATGGCTGATCGGCTGTCAACAGTTCTGAGCTCAGTCCGTTGGGTTAAGATATCGCTCAGGTTTATTTACAGATTGTGCAATTCTTGCTGTCTATCGTTGCATTGAAGAACATAAGCTGCATTTTGACTGCAAACTTTCAGGAATGCTCAGCCTCTCCAGATCGCTTTTGGGTGCGAATGCTATCGGCAGCATTTTCTCGAAGAGTGTTCGATTAATTCATCGCCTTCGTTCGCATTGTAATTGCGGTATGGATTTTGTCCCTCTGCTTTAAAAAAGAATTGAACTGGATTGAATAAAAAAATTAATGCCGCAAAAACAGCTGTCTGTACATGTCTGTAGTCGCTGTAGCCTCTCGAGCTCATCTGTCTCTTGTTGACGGCCCCAGGGGGTACTCGATATATCCTTGGGGGGGGAGGTGCGGCTCGGCCCCTCATACCCTGACCCTGTTTAAGACAAAAATCGCTGATTTTCCTACCCTACTTTAGTCTGCTACACAGCCGTTTTTAGTGGGAGGAGCATTGCGTGACGAACTCTAAAAACGGCTGTGTAGCAGACTAACCCTGTTTAAGACAGAATTCCGATTTTTGATACCCAGTTTAAGACATTCGTAGAACATAAGCGCAGGCTCTTTATCGCCTAAGAACAGGGTTGTGGGCTCCTGTCTACGAAAAGATACCCTGTTTAAGACAAAAATCCCGAAAAACATAGCCTGGCTGGCCGCATGTCCCCATTAAGCCCTTTTAAGGGAGTACCCCCCCCCCCCGGACGAAACGAAACGGACGACGGACGGCGGAAAATAATAAATAAATGTATAAGATAAATATATAAGATAGTTAAATAAATAAGACAAATTCATAAAACAAAGACAATTCCAAAATCATGATTAAAAATATAAATATCAGTTGTCAGACATCTTGGATCGTCGGAGAGAAGATAAACAGAGTAGGCAGTTTTGTAGTTTGCTAGAATGTCACTTCCAACTCGTGGTTGGGAAGAATAGATGTGTAGTTTCTGTCGTTTCAGTTTGCGAAATTTTTTTGCGATAGTAAGGTCCGTGCCGCACTGTGTCGAATAGGGACTTTAAGATCCAACGGCGCGGACGGTAACGAGAACGTCAAAAAAACAATAGGTTTATTAGCTAAACAACAACTTTGCTCGTACACCACGCTTTTTTGTACATTTCTCTGCCCGTTTTCGCACGACTACGACGTGAACATGCCTAATTTCGCGTTTTATGAAAGACGTAAATAAGCAACGACGAAATTTTATTTCTCTTTCTGTACTTGGATATGGTATCTAGGAATTCAACTCCAGGAGGGTTCGCCAACAATTGACAAAGTAAGTGGGTAGGAATAATTGAAAACTCCAGAAATACCATAACATACCATAATGCTCTTAATCTGTCACCCCAAAATTTTTCATAAGCGTTGTCTTCAGTTTCTCTTGGGAGTTAAAATGGCTCCAAGAGAAACTGAAAACAATGCTTATGCAAAATTTTGGGGGAACAAACAAAGAGCATTATGGTATGTTGTGGTATTTTCCGGAGTGGTCAATTGCAATAAAGACTGAAAGAACACAAATTCACTTTTTAAGCGACGTTCTCATTAATAGTCGTGATATACACCACAGGTAGCCTAAGTTCGAAATATGAGCATCGGCGAGCATCAGCATTGTTGCGTAACATTCAAAATATAAGGATTTGTATGGGAAAAAAAACTATCGTTTCTGTAACCTACGAAATGAAAGGATTTCAATAAAGAACAGCTTACCTTACTTAAAATGTGTGTTACGTCTCTCCTGTGTGGTCCACGGGCCGATTTATGGCCCTTTTATGAAACCCGATTTATTAAGGGCGCAAAACTTTTCGAACGGATGTTAATAATAGACCTTTTCACGGTTTATGACGCCATCTTGGCGGTGGGCAAACACGGCTAAAATTATAGTGAATGTATGGGATTTTGGTCCACTTGGAACCGCTATAAACGTTGCAACGAAGAGGCGGATTTCCAACATTTGCCACTACTTTAAATAGTTTTATTGATATCATTCATTCAACAGAAAATAAGGCTATTAAAGAAGGTACGACATCCGCAAAATTCGAAGTATAAATCTTCTCATGTGGCTTCTATTTCATGGTAATTTGCATACTGTTGATTAGAAGGATTTGTATGAAATCTTAAAAATTCGTTTACGGTCGATTAATTCATCGCCTTCGTTCGCATTGTAATTGCGGTATGGATTTTGTCTCTCTGCTTTAAAAAAGAATTGAACTGAATAACCTGAATCTCTTCTTTATACTTCATGAAAGTAATCACAGTACAAATGTCTTCTAAAATATATTTTCACTGTGGAAATCCACCTCTTTGTGGCGGCGTTATAGCGGTTCCAAGTGGGCCAAAATCCATACATTCACTGTAATTTTAACCGTGTTTGCCCCCCAGCCAAGATGGCGTCATAAACCGTGAAAAGGTCTATTTTCTAACAGATATTAATTGTTGCTTCTAATCCTTTTTTGTTGGATAAAAATCGAACTCTAACACCAACTTCGATAGAAATCGATAATCACATGAAATTTTATGATCGACTTTTATCGATTTCAGATACCTGTCGATTAATTTCTACTCGACATTTATCGACAACGATCGATTTTAATCGACTTTCGAAATTATCGACATGTAACATCCTTTATGGAATGTCCTTATGCTAGTCCTCTTGTTTGAAATATTTAATTTGCATAGTAAAATTCCTTGTTGTTTAGTGTCTGCAGGGCAAAATAAATCACCGGAGTCATCTTAGTATATCTAACATATTTTCCAACAAGACAACATCGTCAGGATTTCTTACCTTTTGCACAACAGCCGCGGTAGCAAGCTCAGCTCGTCAGCTTCCAAGACTTCCAGGCGAGAAAGTCACGCGATGTCTTGGTATTTTGATTCACTTGAATTTCTTCTCGGAATACAAAATGAACTATTGTAATCACCAGCCAAAGAGAGAAGTTTCAGCCTCACAGATCGAAATGGCCATCAAGGCTTTCACTGAACTGAAGATATTTCTGATCACGAGATCAAGTCACTTCCTTGTGAGAAAAAGTGTTAGTTTGTACCCAGACTTTACTCGTCTTTGTAGGACCGTGACAAGGTGGGCAAAAGGTTGGTATGAGGAAAAATGGGGGACTACTCGTAGTCTAGGTCGCCGGCAGGCTTTTTTTGGTGTGTTTTTCGCTCGTGTTTTGTAAAAAGATGCAGGAATAATGCAGCTGCGCGAACAGCTGGACCGAGGTTAAACAAGAAAACGGTTGGGGAGGTGCTAAGAAGCTTCTTTCTCTCGGCCCCTTCCACGCGTTTTTTTTCGTTTCACCTCGGTTCATCCATCGTTTGGCGCTGACTAGAAGCGCGCGGGCTGAGGCCGGGCCGTATCTTTCGGGGAAGGAGTGGTTTATAGTGGGCTTCTAAAGCTCTATATGGTCCCAGTTGCTCAAGAGGTGGATTGCTATCCACCGGGAAAATCACTGTCAGGAGCCGATTCATCCACTGTCCAGAGGATAACGCAGTTGAATGGCGATTTATTTGACTGTCACTTGTTTTTACTGTTTTTCTTATAGTATTTTGACCACCCCTTTATCCTCTCTTGATTTAGGTCACGTTTACGGTTGTTTTTTTTAGCCCTTCTGGGAAGGTAGTGGGCGGTGAGACGATATTCAAGAGAGTCTTGTCCCCACTATCTGAACGCATGAATCAGGCCAGGCGGCCCAAATAGGAGTCTTCATGATCAAAATTTCCCCTCAGTCTCGTAATAACAACAGCTAGAAGCAAGCAATTCTGTCAAATATAAAGTCATGTGGGAATTGCAAATATTTGTGTATAATGTGAAGTTCATGAGGTTCGAGTTATGTGCATTTATGGACATAAGTGCAACAAGGTCATTTTTTTTTCCATATAATGGCTCCTTAATATAACATTTCCGAAACCCACGTCTTAGAATCGTTAATTTCGAATCTTGTTATCCTTCTGGTCAAAATCCTAAATTATTGCTTTGAAAAAAATCCAAATTCTGGATCTAGAAAAACCAGTTGGGGAACCTCAAACAATACAAGTACCTATTGGAAGTTAAACAGCTAGCGAACTTACAGAATTTAAAAACCTCTGAATAACTTTCACTCTGGAGTGTTTATTACCTGTCATTTTATTCAGTGTACATTAATATGGCTTCGGATAAACACAACAAAACTATTTTCCACGGGTGAATAATATATTATTTAAATAATTTTTGTTACTCCGAACCCATAATTTACCGCTCCTCGTTTCATGTTAAATTTTACTAAACGAGTAGTAGGAACTACAGATAACGTCATCTCTTTCACTGCTTTTCAGGGTCCGCAACCTTTACTGAGTCAACTTAATTTAACGTGGTTAATCAGCTGACTCTCTCTCTCTCTCTCTATCTGTCCACCATACAGGTTTCAGCAGGGTGTTGCCACTGCAATTCCTTTCCCTCTATCTCTAGCCTGTAATACAGTGTCCAGGCGCGGATCCACACCGGTTTCCACCGTTTTACGGAAATCGGTCAGATTTTTCACAATAAATATTAGCAAACACTTTTAACTTTCCAACAGAAATCTGGAAAATGGTTTGGAAAGTCAGAAAATATCCTGTCTAAATGACTCATAAACCCTAGAGAGAAGATTCTGAGGAGTTAAAATCCAAAAAACTTCCCGAAGAGCATGCCGCAAGACCTCCCTTAGAGTAGGGAATTGCTCAGTATTTATTCTAGATCCACGCCTTACGGAGGAGAGAAATTGATCTTGATTTAACAAAGCGATCAAATTGCTTAATGAGCCGAGACTACGAAAAGTTAAGACGGGGGATATAGCGATATTTTACAAACATTAAAACACACAGCCCTCCGTCTACAGAGCAGGTGCCACAAGGCGAACAGCTCCACATGTAACTTCCCATCCAATCAAAGCAACGTTCTTAAGTCACGTGGGGTCTGTGCAAGCAATCGGTTCTTCACAAAACATTTCATCAAGCAAAGCAAAGCAAGGATTACAAACTCTGACATTCTGATTGTAGCCAAACGCTGGAATCCTGAAAAAGAAGACATGTCCTCGTTGTTAATTTGTCCACTAAAAGACGATGTGAAGAGATGAGCGCCTCTCTTACTCTCTTCACTGAAAACGAACTGGTTAGCCTGTAGTGTAACACAGGTTTTCCCACTTGGGAAGGAATGTATGTCTCTTTTTCAGTTTTGTGTGATTCCCCTCAGTGACTCAATTATGAAAGACCGCCGCAGAATTTGTGGTCCGGCCAGCGGAGGCTGCTTATCCTATTAGCTGGGAAGTTTTAAAACTTAGAGCTCACGATGAAACTTCAACGGCTTCCTCTTTCTTAACTTTTACGATTGCCTCTGTCAGTTTCCGTTAATCAGCAAGAGACGATATCCTCTCTTGTAATCAGCTGGCTACGAGACAAAAAACTGTGACACCTGCAACTGATACTACAGTAAATCAAGTTGAACTTACTGAGCTGACTGATCTGTGCAGTTGTGACAGAAAACGCGGCCGCAGCATCGACAATGATGGCGTCTTCTAGTCTACAACAAACACCAAATGCATCTGTGTTAAGCCAATAGAACCCAAACAAATCAAAACAACAAACACACGTTTTCTAATTTCCAAATCCTGAGAGGTTTGATATTCATAGAATAACACTGATTGTGTATAAACTCACCTATGTTTGGAAACGAAAATTGTTCCGTGGACTTCTGGTGTCCGTTTTCGGTCGAAAATTTGGTTTATCAATTGAGTTGACATAAGGTAAATATCGTAACATATGAGCTTCTACGGCACAAATTGGGTATAACGTCTATCAAAACGTTACCAAAGATTTGAAATCATGGAGTAAAGGCAACCTCCTTTCCAGGGCCCCCGTCCATTTCCTAAAGGAAAAGGCCCTGGGAACAACGTTTGCGTGAAATCAAACCTTGTATTCAATAAAACAAGACACAAAACTTACTTGAGTGAAGGGCGCTCGACATTTGCTGTTTGAACAGTAGTTAACAAGCTGCGAAAAAAAAATACATTACCTGCATTAAAACGAGGTTAAGACTAACCAATCAACAGGCGTGTGATAGCAATCAAGTCAACAATAAGGGGATTGAAAAGATATGGGAACTTTGATGTATCGGCACAATATGAAAATATAAGGTTTGAAATATATTTACGTTTTGTTTGAATTCAAACAAACAGAATTTTTTACTTCTCACGAGATTATTTGCTAATAATAATAATAATAATAATAATAATAATTTTATTACTTATAAAGCGTAAATTCGCATATGTATATGATCAATGTGCGTTACAGAAATAGGCTGATTTAAATTAAAAAAGTCTTAACTAAGGATTTAAAAATTGGTCAATTTCTTTTCGTGTCTTATGTGACGAGGAAGGGCAAAAACCAGTTCCTGGTGTCGGATTTTCAGTAGCAGGTCTAGATCGCGATGTGAAAGTCTTTTGTTTATTGCTTCATAGTGATATCGATTTTATTTCACGCTACATTTTGAGCTACATTTTGACAAACTTCAATCGAAAGTCAGTCAGTGGTGAACATTTTATAGCGATCGGACAAGGATAAAATCACTTTTTAGGTGACAAAAAAATATCGGTAACGTTTCCGAAAAGCTGTATCGAAACACCTTAAGTAAACAGTTTATTGTATTTGTCCTCTATAAGCCCCAATATCTCAGTACAGTCCATAGGTCTATTCTTACCTCATCTGGTACCCACGATAATCTGAAAGTGTTTTGTAAATGTAGTACCTCGGCTCGGTCCCTCTCAGCTTGATCAAGCCGTGTGTTTGCCTGGAAAAAGAGACCATTTGCTGCACAGTGTACAAGTAAAAGACGAAAAATACAGACGTACTGAAAGACCTGAAATCTAGCCTGAAAACTAACCTCGTGAATAGCTGCTTCCGTTTCCTGACGAAGTTTGGCCATTTTGTTAACAAATGTAGCTTCACACTGCATCAAACCACAAATAAGAATTTTTTTAATGTTAGCACAGGCGTCCCAATCTCACAAGAGAGTCAAAAAACCCGACTAAATCGATGAATTCACACCAATAAGTACAGGAATACATCAACGGTAAGTCTCCTTTATTTATTTTACCGAAAAAAAAAAGCAAAAATAATGATATTTAGCGTTCGCAGACCTCAGTATTTTATTTCTCATACAAAGTGTCAACGGTTGCTTGTAACGCGACACTGACTCTCTTGAGAGAAAGTTAATTTACATAACATACTCGTACCGTGAGCTTGGGACGCCTGTGATATTAGTGAACAATAGGACAGCAGGAGAAAGAACACGGTAAAACCTTTTGTTACCACTATGTTCAGAAAGATTTTCCGCCCGCCCAAACTTCATCTTCCTTTAAACAGATCTTTTTGGAAAAGCACAGAACACCGTAAAGTTAAGTGAATGATCACGACAAAACCCTCAAGTAATAACCCGGTCACGTTTGTCATATAAATCTTTTTGCTGACCTCTTCTTTCTGCCCTGTTGTTGAAGGAAGACTTTAGCCTTGAAGCGCGCGGACCATAGTTTGTACTCGACATGGGCTGAACTTTATTTCATAAATGCATTTTGCACTGTACCTTCAACTCCGCTAGATAATTTTGATATTCTAGAAGCCGTGAAACCAGCCTCGGTCCCAGGGCGCTTTCCTCACCCTTCCCACATTTGAAGGAAAAAGCGCTTTGAGGACGTGAGACACCTCCACAGAGAAATCAATTTACACATGCAGGAATCAAGTGCCTCGCCTTTCTCACGCTAGCTATGGAACAGAGAGCAAATACCCGTCATTTTCTGCTTATTTAGCACACCGAGCGTACTGGAAAAAACTGTCACTGAGATATGTATGGTGGCCGAGAACAGTGCTAATCGACAAATCCTCATATTGAAGGAATATGAGTTTAAGACCTTGTTTAACGTACATCTGCATCGCTCCTTTAAGAAGGTGATCTTCCTTCCACGATGAAAACCTATTATCCGCCATCTTCGAGCTTCCTCGAGAGAAAGGGTCGTAAACACAATAAAATCAACGTGGTGTACGCAATGCATGCTGGTAGTGTCAGCCCTCGGCTGGGTCGAAAATTTTATTTGATTTTAATTTTGATTTGATTTTATTTTACTTTGGTTTCATTTCCTTTTATTTTGATCTCACTTGATTTTACTTTCACTTTTCTTTAGAATAAAAATAAAAATTAGAAAGAAAGTGGAAAATGATTACAGATGACACTAAAAAATAATAAAAAATAATTCCTTCAATATGCGAATTTTTCGATTGGCAGTTCTCGGCCACCATAGATATGGATTAAAAAAACAAAAAAAGATTTTCAGGTACATGTAAAGTATTGTACGATGATAGACAGTAAAATGGGTAGCAATGAAAATCTGTCAGTAAATTACCCGTTTAATGGCGATATCTTTCTGTTCTCTTGCAATATCTATCTCCTGCTGCAATCTCATAACCTCTTTGTCATGCGTCTAAATAAAGAAAGTGAAAACAAGAGAGAGAATGAAAGTGAATACTTTCTGGTTCTTCACAAAACATTTCATCAAGCAAAGCAAAGCAAGGATTACAAACTCTGACATTCTGATTGTAGCCAAACGCTGGAATCCTGAAAAAGAAGACATGTCCTCGTTGTTAATTTGTCCACTAAAAGACGATGTGAAGAGATGAGCGCCTCTCTTACTCTCTTCACTGAAAACGAACTGGTTAGCCTGTAGTGTAACACAGGTTTTCCCACTTGGGAAGGAATGTATGTCTCTTTTTCAGTTTTGTGTGATTCCCCTCAGTGACTCAATTATGAAAGACCGCCGCAGAATTTGTGGTCCGGCCAGCGGAGGCTGCTTATCCTATTAGCTGGGAAGTTTTAAAACTTAGAGCTCACGATGAAACTTCAACGGCTTCCTCTTTCTTAACTTTTACGATTGCCTCTGTCAGTTTCCGTTAATCAGCAAGAGACGATATCCTCTCTTGTAATCAGCTGGCTACGAGACAAAAAACTGTGACACCTGCAACTGATACTACAGTAAATCAAGTTGAACTTACTGAGCTGACTGATCTGTGCAGTTGTGACAGAAAACGCGGCCGCAGCATCGACAATGATGGCGTCTTCTAGTCTACAACAAACACCAAATGCATCTGTGTTAAGCCAATAGAACCCAAACAAATCAAAACAACAAACACACGTTTTCTAATTTCCAAATCCTGAGAGGTTTGATATTCATAGAATAACACTGATTGTGTATAAACTCACCTATGTTTGGAAACGAAAATTGTTCCGTGGACTTCTGGTGTCCGTTTTCGGTCGAAAATTTGGTTTATCAATTGAGTTGACATAAGGTAAATATCGTAACATATGAGCTTCTACGGCACAAATTGGGTATAACGTCTATCAAAACGTTACCAAAGATTTGAAATCATGGAGTAAAGGCAACCTCCTTTCCAGGGCCCCCGTCCATTTCCTAAAGGAAAAGGCCCTGGGAACAACGTTTGCGTGAAATCAAACCTTGTATTCAATAAAACAAGACACAAAACTTACTTGAGTGAAGGGCGCTCGACATTTGCTGTTTGAACAGTAGTTAACAAGCTGCGAAAAAAAAATACATTACCTGCATTAAAACGAGGTTAAGACTAACCAATCAACAGGCGTGTGATAGCAATCAAGTCAACAATAAGGGGATTGAAAAGATATGGGAACTTTGATGTATCGGCACAATATGAAAATATAAGGTTTGAAATATATTTACGTTTTGTTTGAATTCAAACAAACAGAATTTTTTACTTCTCACGAGATTATTTGCTAATAATAATAATAATAATAATAATAATAATTTTATTACTTATAAAGCGTAAATTCGCATATGTATATGATCAATGTGCGTTACAGAAATAGGCTGATTTAAATTAAAAAAGTCTTAACTAAGGATTTAAAAATTGGTCAATTTCTTTTCGTGTCTTATGTGACGAGGAAGGGCAAAAACCAGTTCCTGGTGTCGGATTTTCAGTAGCAGGTCTAGATCGCGATGTGAAAGTCTTTTGTTTATTGCTTCATAGTGATATCGATTTTATTTCACGCTACATTTTGAGCTACATTTTGACAAACTTCAATCGAAAGTCAGTCAGTGGTGAACATTTTATAGCGATCGGACAAGGATAAAATCACTTTTTAGGTGACAAAAAAATATCGGTAACGTTTCCGAAAAGCTGTATCGAAACACCTTAAGTAAACAGTTTATTGTATTTGTCCTCTATAAGCCCCAATATCTCAGTACAGTCCATAGGTCTATTCTTACCTCATCTGGTACCCACGATAATCTGAAAGTGTTTTGTAAATGTAGTACCTCGGCTCGGTCCCTCTCAGCTTGATCAAGCCGTGTGTTTGCCTGGAAAAAGAGACCATTTGCTGCACAGTGTACAAGTAAAAGACGAAAAATACAGACGTACTGAAAGACCTGAAATCTAGCCTGAAAACTAACCTCGTGAATAGCTGCTTCCGTTTCCTGACGAAGTTTGGCCATTTTGTTAACAAATGTAGCTTCACACTGCATCAAACCACAAATAAGAATTTTTTTAATGTTAGCACAGGCGTCCCAATCTCACAAGAGAGTCAAAAAACCCGACTAAATCGATGAATTCACACCAATAAGTACAGGAATACATCAACGGTAAGTCTCCTTTATTTATTTTACCGAAAAAAAAAAGCAAAAATAATGATATTTAGCGTTCGCAGACCTCAGTATTTTATTTCTCATACAAAGTGTCAACGGTTGCTTGTAACGCGACACTGACTCTCTTGAGAGAAAGTTAATTTACATAACATACTCGTACCGTGAGCTTGGGACGCCTGTGATATTAGTGAACAATAGGACAGCAGGAGAAAGAACACGGTAAAACCTTTTGTTACCACTATGTTCAGAAAGATTTTCCGCCCGCCCAAACTTCATCTTCCTTTAAACAGATCTTTTTGGAAAAGCACAGAACACCGTAAAGTTAAGTGAATGATCACGACAAAACCCTCAAGTAATAACCCGGTCACGTTTGTCATATAAATCTTTTTGCTGACCTCTTCTTTCTGCCCTGTTGTTGAAGGAAGACTTTAGCCTTGAAGCGCGCGGACCATAGTTTGTACTCGACATGGGCTGAACTTTATTTCATAAATGCATTTTGCACTGTACCTTCAACTCCGCTAGATAATTTTGATATTCTAGAAGCCGTGAAACCAGCCTCGGTCCCAGGGCGCTTTCCTCACCCTTCCCACATTTGAAGGAAAAAGCGCTTTGAGGACGTGAGACACCTCCACAGAGAAATCAATTTACACATGCAGGAATCAAGTGCCTCGCCTTTCTCACGCTAGCTATGGAACAGAGAGCAAATACCCGTCATTTTCTGCTTATTTAGCACACCGAGCGTACTGGAAAAAACTGTCACTGAGATATGTATGGTGGCCGAGAACAGTGCTAATCGACAAATCCTCATATTGAAGGAATATGAGTTTAAGACCTTGTTTAACGTACATCTGCATCGCTCCTTTAAGAAGGTGATCTTCCTTCCACGATGAAAACCTATTATCCGCCATCTTCGAGCTTCCTCGAGAGAAAGGGTCGTAAACACAATAAAATCAACGTGGTGTACGCAATGCATGCTGGTAGTGTCAGCCCTCGGCTGGGTCGAAAATTTTATTTGATTTTAATTTTGATTTGATTTTATTTTACTTTGGTTTCATTTCCTTTTATTTTGATCTCACTTGATTTTACTTTCACTTTTCTTTAGAATAAAAATAAAAATTAGAAAGAAAGTGGAAAATGATTACAGATGACACTAAAAAATAATAAAAAATAATTCCTTCAATATGCGAATTTTTCGATTGGCAGTTCTCGGCCACCATAGATATGGATTAAAAAAACAAAAAAAGATTTTCAGGTACATGTAAAGTATTGTACGATGATAGACAGTAAAATGGGTAGCAATGAAAATCTGTCAGTAAATTACCCGTTTAATGGCGATATCTTTCTGTTCTCTTGCAATATCTATCTCCTGCTGCAATCTCATAACCTCTTTGTCATGCGTCTAAATAAAGAAAGTGAAAACAAGAGAGAGAATGAAAGTGAATACTTTCCTAGGGCCAGCAGTTCTATCACAATGTCTTATAACGCGTTTAGGTAGGTACTTCATATATGTACACTATAGGAATCATATATGAAGTAACTACTCGCGTTGGTAGTTCCTACCCACGTTTAAACGAAAACTGCTGACTGGTCAGATCAATTGCTTGGATGCCAGTCTTCGGAGCAGTCGACCAGACCACCACTCAGGGTCTTGACAAAATACTTGAGAAGACCGTCTTTTCTTCTTGCTTTTAAGATAAGGATGAAAAACCGTAGCCGCCACCCCTTCTTAAAACACTTCACCGATAGGACTAGTACATGCACAAATAGAAGAATCGATACGGGAGTAAAGTTCTCTGGCTGTAACCACCCCCTAACGCTAGTTGTTAGATTAGGTAGGTTCAGTACGGTACCGTCTTCATTTGGTAGGTCTGTGCCACGTTCGTTTCTATTTTCATTTGGTAGGTCTGTGCCACTTTCGTTACTATTTTCATTTGGTATGTCTGTGTCCCGTTCGTTAATCGTTACTATTTTTATTTGGTAGGTCTGTGCCCTGTTCGTTACTATTTTCATTTGGTAGGTCTGTGCCCTCCATTGGGTAGGCTTGTGTTCCGTTCGTTACATCTCGATTTGGTAGATCTATGCCCAACAACGCTAAAACAATACTTTACCTCAAAAGACTACGAACAGTCTCCCTTGGAATTGGAACTGAATACTATCACTGAGAACAACTGATACTACTATCAAAACGGCGTTAAACCAGCAATAAACTTTTGCCGCTATAACTTACCTCTGCTGCACTAGCGATAGACTGCATGAGTCTTTTGCAACGCTGTTCAAGGTCCTCTTTCTCAGCTTGAAACTTCATCAGCTTTTCCTGAATAATACGGTGGAAAATATAAAGATCTTGGGTACCATTTGTACGGGAAACCGAAAATTTCAGTTGGAAATTAAATGGTTCGCGTCAATTCGTCAGGGAAGCTTCAGAAAATATGGGCTGTATATCAGAATACAAATTCACTTTCCTTGTCCCAAATGTTTCTTATAAAATATCGTGAGAATTTATCCTCGTCCCTCATTGCATCAGAGTTTCCATGTGATTATCTCGACCACCCGAACACATTATAATAATAATAATAATAAGCTTTATTTAACGAGGGTAACACGGGACAGTACTTCAACTGAATAACTAGTGGCCCTCAAACTAAAATTATAAAACAAAAATTAAGTAACAAAATACATATCGTTAAAGAGAAAGAACTATAAATATATATATGAATAAGACTAAAAAGAGTAAAAACTATATTACAACTATAAAATATCCTTACAATGAATATCTACAAACTATAATTCATTGTAAGGATATTTTGGGAAGCCTTAGACAACGATTATGGAAACCAAGCTAAACCAGACAACAAGTAAAAGAGGTTTTTCCAGTAAATACTCTTTTTTTTACTTACAGTTTTATGTAAGTAGGGTTAAATACTGGGGCTCGGCAGATTGAAAATAGTTTAGACCGCAGTCTTGTTACGCAAAGCCTTCTTTGAAGACTTTCTGAGACTTTCCGGGTTAAGTTGCTGTAAATGTGGTTGTGTCTTGATTACGCAAATCAGTGACTTAAAAGGATCAGGTACCTCGAGTTTTGAAGGGTTTGCTACCACACACGGTAATAAATCCGGTCTGATGATAGGTTCCACATCAGCTGTAGGAATGTTAGATGATGGAGTGCCACTACTTGAACCAAAGAAACGATTAACTACAATAAAAGGGATGGAAAACCAGATAAACTGATGTCTTTCAATATCATTGAGCTCACATTTATATAAATACCCGCCTTCCCAAGGGGCTGGTGATCACCGGCGAACGCTACAGAGAGAATTATTTTGATAATAGTAACAAAGGCGAAAGTAGATGGCTACTGTGCGCGCCTTTCCCTGCAGTGCTTGATAAACTTTGCCTATTCGCAATTTTAACTGTCGATAAGGCAGACACCTCTCTGAAGCGGTCAGCCAAACTTGGTTTGGACAGCATTTGGCTTAAAGCTGTGTCACTACAGTAGAAATTGGCCCCTAACTGAGCGAGGAGAATAACCACTTCAAGCGCTGAAGGAAGGTTTGAATATCACAGCAAATATAAACGAAGACAAGGATGGGCAATATCGAAACACCCCATCTAAGAGAATACGGATTCCGGAAATATCCGAAAATATGTTTGCTTGTGGAATCCGGAATCCGGGAAATTTCGGAATTTAGGCTTTGAAAAGAGGAATACAGCTCAAGGAATCCGGAACCCCACTAACAGTTGGAATCTGCAATCAGAAATTTACTGCGAAAGAATCCGGTATCCACGCCGTAGAATCCAAAATCAAAGACTGTCTTGAATTCCATTGCTTGAGGACCGCATTTGCATGGATTTTTTGAAACGTTTCATCTTAAAAGTTTTTCAAAGTTTCTCTCCGTTTGTTTGTCACGCTTGGGAGACACATTTGTTTGTCAGATGCTGCGATTTTGTCATTTACAAGAAATATGATTTCTTCCTTGTACAGAAAGCCAAGTATCTCTAAGAAGAAGAGCTTTTGGAATAATGTCCGGCTTAAGAACGTTTAGTGCCATTACTAGTAAGAAGTTTACCATATAGTGCCTACAGCTCTAAGCTTCTCACCTGGAGTTTCGGACCGAAGCTCCTCACACGAGTTATGCTTTCGGAGACTCTGAAAAGAAAGACAACAAAATATGTGACCATAATTTCAAGAAATTTCTACAGTATAAGGATCCAAACAACAGAAGTAAAACTATTATTAATACAGCTTCTCCCTTTTAACGAGTTGTTTAATCAACTAACATCAAATTCTCCATAAACTCATGGGGTGGGGGTGGGGGTGCTGGAAGAAGGATGTAAACATGCGAAAAAGAATTGCGTAATTGAACTGTGCCTTACATTGAAATATTAAGACTCAAATTAAACACTACAGGAGAATGACAAAGAAGCTATAGTCATGCTTGTTTTGATCTGTTTTGAGTTGCTACAGTGTTTCGCCTTAATCGGAAATAAAGTTTCCCACTTCAGTGATTATTTTATGCGTTTTGGTACTTTCGTGAAGGTTAAAAATTTGCAAGGAATATTTAACTCACCCAGTCAAGGGACTTTGTTTTGTCTTCTCTTCTTAAAAGTTCTGGTGTCTTCAACAATTTATGTCTTTCTTGCGAATTATCTGAGTTTTATAATAACAAAAACTGTATGAAAAAATCATAAACTTCACAACAAATACAACAGGGATCAATGCCAAGTCACATTTCTATAAACATTTTGCAGAATACTGTTTATTTTAGAATGCTTAATTTAAAACACCATCGTAAGTGGGTAGATTTATCAATTTTGGCCACCTCATACCTAGGGCCTACGCTTCCAGAGAGGCCGTGAGAACGAGATTGCACCTTGGTCGCCCTGTGTGCTGCTTTGCGCCATCTCTGTTTAGGGCATGATTACTGTTCACACTCACCCGCGAGATTTTCGATCCTGATGAGTATGCCATTTTCTTTTGCAGTTGTACGTAAGATGTTCTATCCGCGCGTAGCGGGGATCAGACTTTTCCGTGCTGGGCTATGCACGTGACAAAATGAATACTTTATCCTTCTTAAGACAAACCTTTTGCCATCCATTTCGGGCTGTTGGGTGGTACGTGTTCATTAATGTGTCTCACAATCGTAGCCACATACAGCTTTAACATTGGGTCTTNCATTTTCTTTTGCAGTTGTACGTAAGATGTTCTATCCGCGCGTAGCGGGGATCAGACTTTTCCGTGCTGGGCTATGCACGTGACAAAATGAATACTTTATCCTTCTTAAGACAAACCTTTTGCCATCCATTTCGGGCTGTTGGGTGGTACGTGTTCATTAATGTGTCTCACAATCGTAGCCACATACAGCTTTAACATTGGGTCTTTGGTTGAGAACCCTGCAACAGAAAACATACATTATACAAGTGACTGATAACTACAGCATAATCCTCATATCCGAGTTAACCAGAAAAAAAGCTTAAAAAATCTTTCCATTCCATTAAATTTGTAAATAAGATGGAAGATCAGTTAGATTACCTGTTGGGGTTTGTAGCCTCTCTTGTAAGTTCTGTACTGCAACATCAACTGCAAGATTATTTTTTATACAGAATTAAAAGTTAAAAAGGTTTTATGGCACTTGTAAGTTACAGCCTGGTAGTAGTTTGAATTCATGTACAATGGGGAGAACGTCCCAGACATCCTCAAGTGTATAAAGTTATTCGCCACTTTCAAAAAGAAAAGGAACAGGAGCCGATAGAGCGATTTTCGTGTGACCATGAAAAATGGTTTAGGTGTGTTTGTTATTTGTTTTACAGCCAATGGATGAAAAGATCAAAACATGGTCTCTCCGTTTCCCCGCCAAAGAAAACCTTAATATGGAGACCGCATTGTTCGATTGGCCAATAGTGTTGCAGTATGACGTCAAAGCGAAGTTCGATTGATTTCTAGAAAGTTCGTCGGGCATGACGTCTTTTCAGCCGAGTGTTCGCTTAACCAACCAAAACCCACGAGCGTTTATATTCGTTCGACAAACTAATCAAATCGCTCAATTTCAGCTCGTTTGTTGTTTCTGAGACTGTTTTGTTCGCGCGTTTTTATTTCAAGGTCATACGAAAATGGCTCTATACGTTCCGCAACTGTTCCTGGCCGGGATCGTTACTGGGGACGCGCCGGTCCGTTCGCTATTGGCCAATTTTTTTTTCATGTCCCTAATAACAGTCCCACAAGTCTTAGCAACTTAACCTCGTTTTAAAAGTAAGAGTGTTTGAAACTCAAAGCCTATTTTGTAAAAAGGATCTGTAATGTTATCAACTTAATCAAAAAGCTTACACAGAGAAATCTTGCATAACAAGTCTTATGGTGGGTTTGTTTTACCTTCCACAGCTCTCAATAGTTGAACCAGCTCCTGTTTGCCACCGGAACGGGATGCAAGGTCTGCTGCTGTCTCTAATGTGTCAGTCAAGGCAAACACTGGAACACGCATCTTAACACGGAAAGTAAAATGGGTGGGGGGAGGGGAGGGAAGGGAAGCAAATCATTAGCGCACATACTTGGTTAGGTCAAAATAAATCAGTTTGCCCCATCCTGTCAAAAAAGGATTTATCAGTATACTACTAAGTAGTAATAATTATAAAAGTTTTAAGGAGTGCAGGCAGCATTTCAGCTTCCATTTTCTGGAAGGTGTTCGCGCCAAGTTTACGGTACGGTGACTTCTCTAAAGGAATGCGGTTCGGTTCTCAACAGCCGTTTGTGGGGAGCAGCATTGCGTGAAGACAGAAAGAACGGCTGTGAAGCAGACTATGCCTTTGGCAAATTGGTGATAATGTCACTTGTCCCTGAGAAATCTGTGGGGATGCCAAATACACATTCCAAGATCCATTCAACCACCAACGGTCGTCCAATGCAATATCATCACCTGACTCGTCTCCAGTCATCTCTCACTCTCTCTCTCTAGTGGCGTGTGGGGTGTGATGGGAAAGAGGAAAGTGAGGCAGACAGATGAGCGTCTTTCTCTCTTCACCCTTCCCATCATCCCCTGCTCCCGCCGTGCGTTACGTGTGAAGACTACTGGGAACAAGTCAGTATCATAACTAAGATCTATTATGAGATGCATTTCTTTTGGGCACAATATTTACAAGTTTATTTGCATCTTGGTTAATTTTAAATCATGAGACAAGCTGTTGGGGAATATTTCCTTTGTTTAATTGCTCATATTAATGATCACATTCATCCATTGTCCCCAGAAACAAAAACTAGCAAACCTTCATACGGTATAACATGATTTGTAACAAGTGGATACCATTTCAGCAAGTGAAGGTCTTTCCTGTACATTGCACTGTAGTATTATAATGTATGGTGAATTAACTGTGTCTAGGCAAAACATCAAAGTGAGAAAACAGGGGCAACCAAACGCAGATTTCTTCTAAGTGCTTTGTAAACATCTTTTAGGCTATCTACAGTGCTTTTAAAGCTGTAAAAATACATTTTAAGTGACACCACAAAATTTTGATCTGTTTGGTTGTAAATTAAGGCAACTTTTGGTTAACCATTTTGAATTTATTTAAGGCTTTCTAACCGCATTATTATTACTTTCCAGAACAATATTATATTCTCACTTTCCAGAAAATCTTATCTCTTTCCCAGTTTTATCAGTAAGTACCTGTATGAGAAGTTCACCACACTCCACATGACTTTCACTTGATCCTTTCCTACAGATCAATCACATAATATCAGTAATACATGGCTGCTTAATCAAAAATTAGAATCTAGACAGCATTTTTGCCTCATTGACGTGGAATATTCAATATTCTATTCTGACACAAAATGAAATTATCATGGAGGCATACTGATGCAAAAAAGGTTACCTAATATACAAGTACTTCCAAAGCAGCAGTCAATATTAAAAATAAAAAAGGTGTGATTACTAGCCTGAAATAAGTGCACAAAATGACTGTCATTTCAGACTATGTGTTTATGAGTGCTTTTTGTGTCAGGCCTTCCATGCGGTACAGAAAGAGACTGGAGTGTACATTTCCATGCTCTGCATAGTTGTTGCTTTGCCGATCAATACACGCTTTGTTTCTTTAATAATTTGTGCTTTTTCTTTATTCATTATGAAACAAAAACAAAAGCTAAGTTCATTTATTTACGTAAAAGAGAATGAAAGTTGAACCTGAAAAGCATGGAGATGAGCTGGATAATTAAGATGGTGAAGCTCATGATAGTTGTTCAAAGTTTCAATANTCAGTAAGTACCTGTATGAGAAGTTCACCACACTCCACATGACTTTCACTTGATCCTTTCCTACAGATCAATCACATAATATCAGTAATACATGGCTGCTTAATCAAAAATTAGAATCTAGACAGCATTTTTGCCTCATTGACGTGGAATATTCAATATTCTATTCTGACACAAAATGAAATTATCATGGAGACATACTGATGCAAAAAAGGTTACTTAATATACAAGTACTTCCAAAGCAGCAGTCAATATTAAACATAAAAAAGGTGTGATTACTAGCCTGAAATAAGTGCACAAAATGACTGTGATTTCAGACTATGTGTTTATGAGTAGTTTTTGTGTCAGGCCTTCCATGAGGTACAGAAAGAGACTGGAGTGTACATTTCCATGTTCTGCATAGTTGTTGCTTTGCCGATCCACACACGCTTCATTTTTTAATTTGCACTTTTCCTTTATTCATTATGAAACAACAACAAAAGCTAAGTTCATTTATTTACGCAAAAGAGAATGACAGTTGAATCTGAAAAGCATGAAGATGAGCTGGATAATAAAGCTCATGATCTAGTTGTTCAAAGTTTCAATATCATAGTTTGACCCAGACCATTTTTGAAATTGATCCAATTTAAAATGCCACATGGGATGTACGACCCACTTTTACCAATTTCTAGACTGAACAGTCTGCTTAATAATACACACCACAAACCTTCATTTAATAGGATTTCATAAAAAATTTGTATAACATGTTTTTTAACCATGCTCATGTAAACTTACCATGCAAGGGCATGAAGAGGGGTCCAAGATTTCTAGATTGGATAACAAAATAAATATTATAAATAAGTATAAAAGTAGCCTTGATATTCATTTATTCATTTCTAGTATGAAACATTCCATAAACTTACATTGTTCACTGCTGTCACATCTGCATTTCATTCCTGTTAAATTTTACATAAAAATTAATAAATAAATAAGACAGGATTTAATTTATGTAGCTAGTTTACACGGCTGATATACCTGTCATGGATTAACCCTAAAAACTGTTGTGTGCAGAGAAACATTATGACATGTGTATTTCGAGAGTCAGAATGACATGCCACACTTTCTGTTAGAGATACAAGGATCAGGAATCAGCAGAGGGTTAAATCCCCTCTAATTAATTATCATCATCATCGCCATCACTATTATATCAAGATCATTCTATATGGATATTAGCCTAGTCAAAGAATCCTGCAGTTTGGATTTAACTTACATGTACAACACAGACCAGTACCGAAAAATGCCAGACTTTGTAGTAAAATGTGCTTAATTCAAGATGGAAGAAAGCACAAAAAATATTCATCGCAAGGTTTTAAGTTTGGGTTCAAAAAGCTTCCAATCACGAGACTCTGTCCTGGCTTTACAATTGAAGAGGTGCATGAAACAAGGCCCTACAAGGTGTCTGGTAATCTGCTAATCTACCTTTAATTTTCAAATATAATAATACAATACAAATTGATTAATTATTATATATAGGATCAGGGTTTTAATTAAGAATTTTGTAGCAGGAGAAAGGTGTAATGTTACAGGAGAGTATTGTGAAAGACACTCCGCATCTGAATAAAAAATAGTCATATAGGCTATCAAACGTTAGCCAGAAAATTCTGCGCAGTAATTATAAACAGAGAATTCTCTGATCTCCTTTGCCTAATGAACACACTGTAGAATAATGACTGTAACAATCAAGACACTGGGCCAAAATTCTAATGGAAAGTTTACAAACTTTCTCAAGGTTGTTAAATTACTAGAGACAAATTGAGACCAAAATTAGTTACCATTAAGAGAGCCACACAAGGGAGATGGCCACCTTCTGCAGCAAAAAAGAGAGGAGTGTTCTTGTCCTCATCTACAAAATGAAATAACAAAATAATATTTACTGTGATTTCATTCAAATGTAGGATCAAACACTCTTATGGGAAAGAAATAAAAAAATTTACTTTGCCTGTGAATCTTTATTTACCAGTATGGAAAGAATAATTCAAAGTGGGTTTGGTCATATTTAAAAATAAATAATTATTATTACCTCTAATATTGATGTCAACATTCTCATGATTCAGTAAAGTAACCATGGAATAATGGTCTCCTGGAAATACAGCAACTCATTTTTACTGATATTAAATAAATCAAAATTAATATACTCTGACTAACTAATTATTTTCTAAATGATTAAAATGCATCACAGTGCATTGTGGTACTGCATGCATTCAGAGTCACCACTCAGTTGAGAAAATATTGAGTCATAAATTAATCATAAATTAATCACATCCTGTTAAAAAGTTACCATTATAAAAGAATAGCAAAAACACATCTGTAGGCACTAGAAAACATGAAGAAGCCCTAGATCACAGATTATTGTACAACTCAGCACTGTGAGAAAGATTTGAAGTACATGTACAAGGGGTTTTACTGTTAAAGTACACATGTATGACTTGCTAGTTTTTTACTTGGTTAGTTTTTGGCAGTGTTTTGAGATTAGATTAATGATAAGCATATTATTACCTGTTTTAGCAGCTTCGAACAAAGCCCTTTTCCTTTGTTCAGGATTTAAACTAGACAAACTTGACACCACAACAAATGCATCAGATGTTGCAGATGATGTTGAATTTGCTAAAGATGAAAGAAAATGTCATTTCAATAAAGACCTTTTCATTTCCATGTACTGTTATGATGCAGTTTAAAATGAAATTTACTGTAGTGGTTTCATCCCAGTTTGATTCTCAGTTTCCTTTATCTCCTAACTGATTTCTGATGGATGGTTACCAGTTTGGCAACGCAAGGAGACAGTGTAACACTTCAGAAAACGTGTTTGCCATCCAACATAATTTTCCTGTTGATACAAATTTATGGTCATCACCATCACTATCATCATCATCATTATCATTATCATTATCACCATCAAAAAGTCTCTCAGTGCCAGCATTAAGAAAACAAGACCTGGGGGCATCTTTATACTCTGGTATTTATTAATTTTATATTTATATTTCATTTAGCTAGTTGTCAGACTGCTTGATTTTTTAAAGTAATCAAGAATATCATATAATATCTCTGACTGGGTAAATTTAACACACCTCTTCCTGTTCTAGCCTCTTCTATAGCTGACAGAGCCTTCTGGGTGTTCATTTCATCTTCTTTTTGTTTTAAGAGACATCTTGTACATACCTAGCAGAATGATAAAGGACTACAGTTAAGATCAATGCTCAGTCAATTGACCACTTTTTCAATGGCCCTCTAAAATGTGGGCAAGCAAATTTTTTGACACACATATTGGCAAATGATTTTTTGTGAAACAGACAAATTGCAATAGAAATTCTATAATAGTAAGTATGCCTCAGTTCCTGTGAGTGCACTTAAAACTGGAGCCATACTGATGCAATCAATTATGTTCAGTATAAAGACATTGAACTTTTCTCTCTTAACATTGTTTGTCAACACCAGATGTTTCGTGATTGAGTCTGTTAAGTTTAATGGAGTAATGGCCAACAGTTACAAAGATCATTTGCCAAAAGAAGAAAAATTAACTCCATTTCTCACATTCCACTCTACATTACTGATAAAACTCATTCATTATTTTTATAAAACATAACATGATTTTGAAATGGATGAAATAGCCGGATTTAACTATTTACTTATTATTTGACGTACCTTTACAGCTTTGTTAACAACAACATGACAGGTAACACACACTGCAGTGGAACATGTACGACAATGAGAACTAACAAACAAAAGGATGTGGAATTATTATCATGACAAGAGGTAAGAAAGTGGTGCATCGTTCTACTTAAATCCTAAATCTAAAGAGGTGTTTAAGCACCTTACTCTTTCATAAGGGGGAGAAAAAGAAGGGGGAGAATAATAGTCATCATTTATATTATACAAATTAACATAGAAATATGATTAAATGCACAAAAATTAGAAATTAGAATTAAGGGAGTATAAGTATTAATACTTTACCTGTCCTTTACTTAAATCTTGCTTCTATAGCATGACAAAGCAACTAGGAATATTTCTAATCCCTCCTGTCCAAAGGTTTGCTAGTCCATATTATGTTACATTTGCTGGTACTGGTTCATACAACTGGATGGAGTGCCAGTTGCATCAAGAGTAAAGTACCTTGCCCAAGAAATTATTTATTAAGCAAGGTCAAGGATCCTAGCTAGCCACAGCTAGAACCCAGATTTTTTGATCTGGAATTCAGAGCACTGACAATAAGGTCATATGCCTCCCAGATTTCAGAGTACTATGTGTACGCTGTACATATTAAAAAAATGGAAATGGAATCCATGCATGCATTATGATAAACAGTCATCTACATGTAACAAGAGTAGCCCCAGTGTTAACTTTTTTTGTTTACAATAATATGAAATTGAGTAAACATTGTAAGATGCTTACCGCCGTTTGTTCAAGTTAGTTCCCCAATACTTCTGAAATATTGTTCCACACTTGGAACAATTCTGCCAAATAAAAAGTAACAATTTATCCTGAGTTCTACAAATGCAAGCAATTCATGGGTACAGTCTAACTTACACTATAGTTAACTTTCCTTCTTCTTGATGAACAGTTCATGCAACAGCACACTCACTCTTGTTTTTGTAATACAGTGCAATGGTCATCTTTTTCAAAAATTATACCATCATGTCAAAACAGTCACATAAGTGTGTGCTAACTATCAAAATACCCTCTGCAAATGAGCCACACTTGTATATAAATAGCCAACAGCATATCAGTCCTATCCATTTGAGTGTTGTTCCACATTATCAGGGTGGAGTACCTGTAAACTAGCTTGAGCAGCTTGGTGCCTTTTTATTATAAAACAAAGCATTTACCTTCTTAACTATTAAACCTTAGATTATGAAGTTAGCAATCACGAACCTTGCAATCGCAGGACTTGTATGATTTTTTACAGTCACTACACCTTCTTGTAAGGACTGCAGTGTCACTTCCTTTTGAGTTCAAATATAGATTCAAAGAAGAAAGACTGATTTCATTCAATTGAAGATGATCAGCTGCTGTAGCACACTTTATCACTCATAATCATAATTGAAGTCTTTTATACAAAAACTAAAATCCACTCTTGACAGCTGGCCGTCTTTTTATTTATATTAATTAACAATTAATGAATGGGGCTGAGTATCTCCATAATTCGTCATATGATATGAAAGCAGAATTCAATAATTGTTTTATTATTCATTCAACATAATTCCTAGTTTAAAAACAAAGCTGAAACATGCTTACCTTTATCGATTTCAAGTTCACCTTCGATAGTGCACGTTTAGGGTTGTTCAGCTCCACAAATATTGTCCAAATAGCAGATGCATCCTTCGAGTTGTGTTCTTGCTGTTCTCGCCTTTTTTTTAGCTATAATTTCGCCTAGTTCTCACTCTTGAAAAAAGTGAAATGTCCGCCATTTTTTGTTTTCACAACCAAAACAACTCAACCTCGTCCCCAGGTCTTCTTGGTTAACGGTGAATTAACCTGCAAGGACGCTGCTTTTTTGACGTCATTTCCTTGTTAAGCACAAAATTCTTCCAAATTTGGTCATCAGTATCTGGTTATGGTGAATTATGCGTGTGCTTTTAGCGAATCAGAAACGGGGAAATATTTTGAATGAATAATAAGGAACTTTAAGCCTGAGAAAACAGCTGACATTTAGTGATCCTACCACTGCATTCTCCACCAAATGACGTCTGAGAAACGAGCGCAGAAATTCCATACGGATGATGCGTCACTAGCCAGATCTGGGTAGTGTTTCTGATTGATCATACTGCATGGGAAATTTGATTCAACCAATCAGAAGCACTACCCACATCTGGGTAGTGACGTGTCATTAGTACGAAATTTCTGTGCTCGTTTCTCAGACGTCACTTAGCGGGGAAACCAGTGGTAACGTCGCCAAATGTTGGCTGTTTTCTCAGGCTAAGGAACTTTATACCAAACAGATTTGATAAGCTCTTTAATATCATCTGTGTAACATGCAATTACATGCAGAGACAACAAAAGCATTTCTAGGTCTACTAACAATGTAACAGTATGTTTGAATATTAAACTCATTGTCTTTAGTTAATTACCTTTTATTTGGACTACCCTTTTATTTATAGAACATCATGAAGTTTCGTGGACGCAATCGAACGCAATATTTCAGACATTATATGTTGAAACTTAAATTAGAAAACAATACCTAGTCACAGCTGTCAAATAAAAGTTTACATAAGACTGCAGCAGTATGCAGGGTGTGAATGAAACGTTAAAACAAAAACTTACCTTCATTCGAGCTTGAACTATGGGAACCTTCCATTTCTTATAAAATTATTCCTTTCTAATAATTCCACAATCAAAAACAAATTTCGCAAAATCACAAGTGTTTGAGTTTGTATTTTGTTCCATGACTTGGTATCCGAGCCTGTACAGGTGACCGTTTTGTTTCCAAGCTCCCCCGAGACACACGGTACACAATTGCACAATATACGTGAACAGGCGACGTTTTCGCCGGCGTTTTTGATGCAAGGTTTGTTTCAGAAAGTATCAATATTGAACGTGCTTTGAGCATGATTTTAGCCTTTCTATTAGCTTCTATTATTTTTGTTGCTTTACATATCTTCAATTTGAGGAAATTGGTTTATCGCGTGACCAACGGCATGACAAATTCGTGCAGTGCAGCCAGAGGGAGTCCAGATTAAGGACATCGAGAACATCGAATGCAAGTACAACTCCTTAATTGGCATCCATTTTTTTTTATATCGGCACCCCCCTCTCACTACTGAGGATTAATTATGACTTCTACTCCCAAGGAAATGTACTCTAACAATAGCAGCAGAGGGCTGTAGCTCACAATTCCCCCAGACTCTCTGCCTCGGTATCTGTACCAAAACTCTGGCTATGGCCGTGGGTAGACCATGATGTTTTAATGCTAGCCATCATCTCTTTACCTTTACAGCTTTGTTAACAACAACATGACAGGTAACACACACTGCAGTGGAACATGTACGACAATGAGAACTAACAAACAAAAGAATGTGGAATTATTATCATGACAAGAGGTAAGAAAGTGGTGCATCATTCTACTTAAATTCTAAATCTAAAGAGGTGTTTAAGCACCTTACTCTTTAATAAGAGGGAGAAAAACAAGGGGGAGAATAATAATCATAATTTATATCATGCAAATTAACATAAAAATATGATTAAATGAACATTAATTAGAAATTAGAATTAAGGGAATACTTTACCTGTCCTCTACTAATCTTGTTTCTATAGCATGCCAAAGCAACTAGGAATATTTCTAATCCCCCCTGTCAAAAGGTTTGCTAGTCCATAATGTTACACTTGCTGGTACTGGTTCATACTCCTGGATGGAGTGCCAGTCGCATCGAGAGTAAAAGTGTCTTGCCCAAGAAATTATGCATTATGTAAGGTCAAGGACCCTAGCTAGCCACAGCTAGAACCCAGATGTTTTGATCTGGACTCCAGAGCACTAACAATAAGGTTATTATGCCTCCCAGATTTCAGAGTACTATGTGTACGCTATCGAATCCATGCATGCATTATGATAAATAAATCTACATGTAACAAGGGTAGATCCAGTGTTAACTTTTTTTTATTTACAATAATATGTATTAAATTGAGTAAACATTATAAGATGCTTACCGCCCTTTGATCAAGTTAGTTCCCCAATACTTCTGAAATATTGTTCCACACTTGGAACAATTCTGCCAAATAAAAGGTAACAATTTATCCTGAGTTCTACAAATGCAAGCAATTCATGGGTACAGTTTAACTTACACTATAGTTAACTTTCCTTCTTCTTGATGAACAGTTCATGCATCAGTACACTCACTCTTAGTTTTGTTATACAGTGCAATGGCCATCTTTTTCAAAATACCATCATGTCAAAACAGTCACGTAAGTGTGTGCTAACTATCAAAATACCCTCTGCAAATGAGCCACACTTGTATATAAATAGCCAACAGCATATCAGTCCTATCCATTTGAGTGTTGTTCCACATTATCAGGGTGGAGTACCTGTAAACTAGCTTGAGCAGCTTGGTGCCTTTTTATTATTTATAAAACAAAGCTTTTACCTTTTTTAACTATTAAACCTTGGATTATGAAGTTAGCAATCACGAACCTTGCAATCACAGGACTTGTATGATTTTTTACAGTCACTACACCTTCTTGTAAGGACTGCAGTATCACTTCCTTTTGAGTTCAACAATGGATTCAAAGAAGAAAGACTGATTTCATTCAATTGAAGATGATCAGCTGCTGTAGCACACTTTATCACTCATAATCATTATAAGGCCAAAATTTTGAAGTCTTTCATACAAAAACTAAAATCCACACTTGACAGCTGGCCGTCTTTTTATTTATATTAATAAACAAGTAATGAATGGGGCTGAGTATCTCCATAATCCGTCATATGATATGAAAGCAGAATTCAATAATTGTTTTATTATTCATTCAAAATAATTCCTAGTTTAAAAACAAAGCTGAAACATGCTAACCTTTATCGATTTCAAGTTCACCTTCGATAGTGCACGTTTAGGGTTGTTCAGCTCCACAAATATTCTCCAAATAGCAAATGCATCCTTCGAGTTGTGTTCTTGCTGTTCTTGCCATTTTTTTAGCTATAATTTCGCCTAGTTCTTACTCTTGAAACAAGTGAAATGTCCGCCATTTTTTGTTTTCACAACCAACACAACTCAACCTTGTTCCCAGGTCTTCTCGGTTAACGGTGAATTAACCTGCAAGGACGCTGCTTTTTTGACGTCATTTCCTTGTTAAGCACAAAATTCTTCCAAATTTGGTCATCAGTATCTGGTTATGGTGAATTATGCGTGTGCTTTTAGCGAATCAAAAACGGGGAAATATTTTGAATGAATAATAAGGAACTTTAAGCCTGAGAAAACAGCTGACATTTAGTGATCCTACCACTGCATTCTCCGCCAAATGACGTCTGAGAAACGAGCGCAGAAATTCCATACGGATGATGCGTCACTACCCAGATCTGGTTAGTGCTTCTGATTGATCGTACTGCATGGGAAATTTGATTCAACCAATCAGAAGCACTACCCAGATCTGGGTAGTGATGTGTCATTAGTACGAAATTTCTGTGCTCGTTTCTCAGACGTCACTTGGCGGGGAAACCAGTGGTAACGTCGCCAAATGTCAGCTGTTTTCTCAGGCTAAGGAACTTTATTCCAAACAGATTTGATAAGCTCTTTAATATCATCTGTGTAACATGCAACTGCATGCAGAGACAACAAAAGCATTTCTAGGTCTACTAACAATGTAACAGTATGTTTGAATATTAAACTCATTGTCTTTAGTTAATTACCTTTTATTTGGACTACCCTTTTATTTATAGAACATCATGAAGTTTCGTGGACGCAATCGAACGCAATATTTCAGACATTATATGTGACCTTCTTTGGGAAAACGTACACTAACGATATTTCGTTATCGTTAGAAAACTAACGGATAGCTAACGGATAGCTAACGGCTTTTCTAACGTTCTAACGGTTTGTCCAAACGTTCTAAATTAGAAAACAATACATAGTCACAGCTGTCAAATAAAAGTTTACATAAGACTGCAGCAGTATACAGGGTGTGAATGAAACGTTAAAACAAAAACTTACCTTCATTCGAGCTTGAACTATGGGAACCTTCCATTTCTTATAAAATTATTCCTTTCTAATAATTCCACAATCAAAAACAAATTTCGCAAAATCACAAGTGTTTGAGTTTGTATTTTGTTCCATGACTTGGTATCCGAGCCTGTACAGGTGACCGTTTTGTTTCCAAGCTCCCCCGAGACACACGGTACACAATTGCACAATATACGTGAACAGGCGACGTTTTCGCCGGCGTTTTTGATGCAAGGTTTGTTTCAGAAAGTATCAATATTGAACGTGCTTTGAGCATGATTTTAGCCTTTCTATTAGCTTCTATTATTTTTGTTGCTTTACATATCTTCAATTTGAGGAAATTGGTTTATCGCGTGACCAACGGCATGACAAATTCGTGCAGTGCAGCCAGAGGGAGTCCAGATTAAGGACATCGAGAACATCGAATGCAAGTACAACTCCTTAATTGGCATCCATTTTTTTTTATATCGGCACCCCCCTCTCACTACTGAGGATTAATTATGACTTCTACTCCCAAGGAAATGTACTCTAACAATAGCAGCAGAGGGCTGTAGCTCACAATTCCCCCAGACTCTCTGCCTCGGTATCTGTACCAAAACTCTGGCTATGGCCGTGGGTAGACCATGATGTTTTAATGCTAGCCATCATCTCTGTTTGTGCTTTTCAGTATGATGTCAGGATTACAAGTTGAAAAATGGAACACCGAAACAGATGGACCTCTAAATGAAGCCAGCATGAGGAGAAAGTTAAAAGGCTACTCCTGCATAAAATACACTTTTCCTCCTGGTACAGACTTTCCTGATCACACTCATAATGTCTCTAAAAAGGATTCAATAATAGCTGGCCAGTTTCGGTTTGCTATGAAGGGAAGAGAAGTCATCCTCCAGCCTGGTGATATGATTGAGGTTCCAGCTGGTGTGGTGCATAATGCTTCAGTGATTGGAAGTGAATCAGTGGTTTTCTTTGATGCCACAAAGTAGGAGAGTTTTAGAAATGATGCTTGGCTTCTATGGATTTGCCCATGTGAGGGAATCTGGATTCTGGAATCAGGGAAATTTTTGCCTATGGAATCTGGAATCTGGGAAAATTTTGCTTGCGGAATTCAAGATCCTGGGCCTTGGAATCCGGAATACAGCTCAAGGAATCCGGAACTCCACTAACCTGCAGAATCTAAGTTCCACTAACAAAGACTAGGATCCAGTGCCTGGAATCCGGAGACCACGGCATGGAATCCAGAGTCCAAGACTCTCTTGGATTTTTTTACATGGGGTGAATGGATCATTCGTTAGGGAAGAATTGGATGAGGAAAGGGAAAGAAATATTTCTAATCATAAAATCCAATCTTAGAAACAAACTACATGGAGACTGGCCATTTCTCTTTGAAAATTCTTTGAAGTTATTATTTTTCGTTAAAAAACACCTCATTTCCTAGGATAATAAAACAATGATGCCCCTTGTTTGTGATATTTAGACAGCTCAAGACTTATTTTATTTTGTTTTATTGTTTTGTGTTTTAAATATAGTTGTTTATTTCAATCTCTAACAACACTTACACAACAAAAGTTACCTTTAGGTAAACTAAAAAAATAATAATAACAATAAAGAAAGAAAAAAGAAATTACGAAACTTTACAACAATACATTGTATTACAGTCTTGCCACAAAAGTGTAATAAAATGCAAAGCTAATGTTGAGTTAACATTACTCGTTGAATTAATATTGCTAGATTAGAAAACAAACTTCAACTCAATTAAAGGCTTATCCATTCATTATAATAATAATCAGGTGAATTAATACTTATTGCTATATGTTGTACTATCTCGGCTTTGTTTACCACTATAGTTAGATAAACACTTAATAACAAAGGCTCTTCTGTGATATTTCAGCAGTATACCATAAAATTCCGGAAATAAGCCCTCCAAATATATTAATTAGCCCCTCAAACTCGTACCACAAAAAATCCTCTTAAATCTCCCCTCCAAATATAAGCCCACCCCCCCTCCCCCCAGGCGTCTTGTTCTTGGAAATTGCTCTCAAATACAAAATAAAACAAAGCAAAAAGAGCACAGAAACATATAAATTTTTGTATTTGCCAAAGAACGTGTGCCAAATGATTGCAGCCAGAAAGTGTCACAGTTTATTGCTGTTTGCGACGCGTAGTTCCTCTTCACTCTTGGCTTTGATTTCCTTGGTCTATATTGACAAAGTACTTGCATGGTTGCATTTTAGAAAGGTCTAGGTCCGTAACGCGAGTTCCAGTAAAAACTTTCTGCAAATTACTGACATAAAAAAAAAATTCCATTCAACTATAAGCTAGCCCATTTGATTTTAAGATGCAGATAGTATAACCCTAGCCGATTTTGTATATAAGCCCCCTTCAAAAATAACTCCCACAAAAAGGGCCTCTGGAAAATATAAACCCCGGGGCTTTTATTTTCTAACTTTTATGGTATACAATATTTTGCAAGTAGTAAGAGATGATTAGTTAACTTATTGAGGTGGTTGTTACCGCTAATACCATACAAGATTTTAATGGTTGATAGATCTACAGCCCATATTGGTACGTGAGACTTGTACCAGTAGAGGAAAGCTTCCCAGAACTCTCCCAGAGCTCAAGACTTGTGACAAGAAATCCAAAGGCTACCAAGAGGTTACAAGCTGTTATCTATAGAGCTATGAGAAGGAATTAAGGACAACTGCAGTCAAAATAGTAGCAGGGACTGAACTCACATTTCAAGAAGAAAAGTCACCAAATATTATTATAGTAAAGATATTTTATACCCCAGTGAGAAGGATTAAAACTTAGCCTGCATAGCAGGCGCTTGGAAGTAGTGGGCAAAAGAGAGAACGGGAGACACGAGTTTCTCCTTCTTGTGCGCACGTTTTTTCTTGTGACCACTACTTCCAAGCGCCTGCTACGCAGGCTAATTAAAACTGAGATTAAGTAATCTTTGAAGTTTTTGGTCATGCCTGTTTACAGCTACTTACAGCAGTGACCCAGGGCTCACAACAATATAACATCAGGGCCATTGTTAATTCATTTTTTTTTTTGAGGGGCTAACACAAACATTTGGTGTGTCAGAAAGTTGTCCACCATACTAGCCCATGTGTAGCATGTGCTTGTAAGTAAAATGGGTGCAACAAAGAATTGGGCGATGTCTCCCTTTTTTTGTACGCCTCTGTTTTTTTTGGCACCTGTTTCTTCCAAGTGCCTTATATAATGGCTACATATTTCCATGTTCAAAAGTTAATGAGGGAGAGTGTGGGGTTGTGGTAGAGCTGATCCTTGGAAAGCGTATTGTGTCGAAAAGTAGTTTAAGCCTACATACACAAAAATTTTAAATTGAAAAAAAAATTATTCCAGATTAGCTTTCTAAATTCATTTATAAATGCAATTTTCGCTTGGAAGTTATGGGTGCGAGAGAGAACTCAGCTGCATGAGCAATGGAGACGTGAGGGGAGAGGAATCAAAGTCATGTCCTCCTTGTATACCCCATCCTTTCTTGCCCCCATTTTATCCCTAAGAAGTTACTATGCAAGCTGCAGGCTAAATTTCTTGCATCCCAAGATAGCTTTCATATGATTTGGGGATTGAGGTGGGACTGGGATGTATGTTGTCCTTCATTTACCGTAAATGGTAGGCTAAGCGCCACGACACTTATTTAATTCTTCCCCTTACAGGTGCAGCTCCTATTCGAGAGCGGCACTTATTGAATTATTTTTGGAAAAGGAGCGGCGCTTATTCAAGTAGCGGCGCTTATAAATCGATCATAGAGTAAATGACATTTTCCTTTAATAGCCCATTTTACAGTTGCCGGCGAAAACGAGGCTGGAGTTGACCTTGTTTTGATACAGCCCTTCCTGCTTTATTATGTAAATCATGTCTTTCTTATGCTAACTAGTATTTTTTAAGCAAAATTTACATTAGAGAAGGATCGAGGTTTTTATCAAAACAAGGTCAACCTCAGCCTCACGTTCACTCAAAGGCTAGGACACTAAGCACACAACTGTAAACTGGCCTATTTTGGTAAGGTGGCTTGAATCAAAGGAAAAGAAAATTTAAACCCCTGTACTAGACCATGGTAAACTTCAGTATTCTGTCCTTAGCCTGAATTTCAGACGATTACTTCAAGTCGTTTTTATTCCCCTGGGCCCTATTCCTGAAAGGCTGATTAGCGCTATTAATCCAGGATTGAAATTTCATCAGCCGTTTTTGTATTTTACCTTCCCGTGTATTGCTTGGAGTAACATTTTGTGTCATAATTACTGTTTTTCGGAGTAAAGGCTCATCAACAGTATTAAGTAACCCAGAAATTCACAAGGGGTTGAATCAACCCCTTTGGTAAGCTCGAGTTGCATGTTCTTAGACAAGAAAACCTTGCCATAAAATTTGGCTTAATCCGGGTTAAACTCTTCTGGTGCTAACCTCATTCCATCCTCGGAGACCCAGGGGCAGTTTAATAGTCGGGATGTTCGTGGTGAAACTTTATATTCACCACGAACATTCTATCGTCCCGACTATCAAACTGCGCCTGGGTCTCCGAGGATGACCCGAATCACAACCTCGTTCCCAGGTTCTCTCCAGGGGCGGGTAGGAGGGTAGAAAGGAAAGTGAAAGGGCCTGAAAAGTTCGTTGGAGGCGCCTTCTTGGTGGTATATTCTTAATTCTCTACAGAAGTCTAACCGAAGAAGATAGAAAATGAAAATCAGGATGTCAAGAAGTGAGTTTTAACGTCTTTATGTCTAACAAATTTGTTCAATCCTCATCTCGCAAAAGCCAGGAATGTGTTACACTAGGATGGAATTACGGTCAAGTCGCCCGTTAAGTTGCCAACATAGGAAGTTTTAACTGACAGAAAGCTAAAGTTTGCCTCTTTATATATTGATAATGAGTTAGTGTTTCTTTTGGCTTTTAAAAAAGTTCGATTTGTAGCTTTTTGTGGAAAGCACACTGATTCGCTCCTGTGATTGAAGGGCTACTTTATGTTGAAGATTTCACCACCAACTGATTTTCGCGTACATGACCGTACATGGAATTTATTTGCACTTGTAGTAGTATAGTCAAAATTTGTGTTCCATATGCGGCTAGTAAGCTTCGAAGTGCGATCTGTGGTGACACTTTTGAAATGTAAGTTGCGTAACGAACTTCTAGGTTTTTAAATAATTAGTCACCTGATCTATTTTTGCCGCGTTGCGCTAAGATAATTAAATATTCACAAAAAAATTGACAAACGGCTTGAAAAATGCAAATCACACACAATCTCGAGTCACAGCTAAATTGCAAATAGGTTTTCATGTTTTCCACGTGTCTAAGCTCGGGAAACTACAATGAAACCTCTGTTAAGAGGACCCCCAATTAAGCGGCCCGAAATTAAAGTGTTATATTTCCCTTTATAACGAACCCCTATTCAGCGGACGCGGACACTAAAATAAAGTGTATTTGGCTGATTTCTATATTGTTGACACCTGACTGAATTGACAGTAGTATTGGGTTACATCCTTGAAATACACCCGGAGTGGTCAATCGATACAATCGGTACCGATTTATCCTGATAAATCGATAAAAATCGGTAAATCTGATTTGATTGATATCGATTGTATCGATCAATCGGTAGAAATCGATGACACACTCGTTTCATTTATCGATTTATTAATCTTGATTTTTACCAATTTCATCGATTTTTATTGGAAGAAGGCAGGTACAAAAGTCGGACCGGATCAACTCGGACCGCCAGTCCGGGTCGGATCAACTCGGATCGACTCGGACCAACTCGGATCGAATAAAAAAATAAAAATAAAAATAAAATAAAATTGGACTCGGATCAACTCGGATCATAAAAAAAAAAAAACTCGGATTATAAAAAGAAAAATAAAATCAGTCAGTATCACTGTAGACTGTTCACAGTCCTCTATTTTTCCGTAAGATCGTCGAGATCGAGCGCTTTGCGTTACGGGCTACCATCTTGCATGAGTGTCAAAAC